ATATATATATATTTTAAAAAAAAAATGTAAAAAGTTCAATTGCATCTCCTAAATTCCTATCCATAGCAAATATTCCACATTTACTAAACCTTTTTTATGGTTCCAAAATTAAATAAGATTCCTAGTGAAATGGTAGACCCCCTAAATGGCTTTTGAAGGATAGTTGGATGCTTTTCATGTTCTTATCTCTGAAAGAGGTCCCCATTTCCCCCATTCTAGAGAACAAAGGCATCCCAATAGAGAACCAACTCATTAAAGGAAGCTTCCACTTTGGCTTTAATTCAAGATAAGGAACTCCAATCTTTCATAAAATCCAAACCCATACTGCAAATACAATTCAAACTATTTCTAATACCATATTATATCTCATATATGTCTCATTCAACCAAAGACTCGTCACTCACTCTCACCACTATATGTATATATATATCATGCAACCATCTTTTATATATACATCTATAAATGTTTGTAACATTATTGATAGAATATGTCCTTAAATTGCCCTAGCAAGTCCATATGCTCGACGCGCACGCGTAAGAAAGCAACAACATCTCATGAAATTAAAACTTTTTGTGATTAGGGTTATCACTTGCTCATCAATGGGGCCATAAGGCGACACATTTTCCGTCTAGGACCAACTATATATAATAACACTAGCTGCGAATGCATCTGCATGCACTGCATATATCAAGCATCATATAAATAGGTTGTACCCACCATTTCACGAAGCTATTATAACTAGGGTTTGAGCTAGGGTTGATATGATATTGCATTGGATTTTTGACATTTGGAACTTATTATTAGGCTGCAGGTTCATGAATCGAGTTATCGGATTCGAATCATCACTACCCGGAAAGGGATTAGACGATGGATCTACAGAGAATGCCTCATCTAGCACTACATGTGGACGATACCAAAAACAACTGCCCCCACCATTTTCCAGAATCAAATGCTAGGGTTTGAACTTTGAAGCTTTGACATGACTAGTCATTGAGATCTTTTTAACTGTTCAAGATTAGTATAGGTTGTTGATTCATGCATGAATCCAGAACCGTAGATTCATTTGATTGTTTTAATTCCTGGGACACATTTAACTAGGATGGTCAGTTTACAATAAGAAGTCCAAATTCCTGGGACACAATTAGCAATTAATGGTCAGTTTTACTAGACATGTTCTGGACACCAAGCAACAACAGAATCAAACACGTAGCATTTTTTTTTTGACAAATGATGATTTGAGTGACATGTGCAGCATGTGCTTGCATTCATAAGTTTTTTTATTTTTGTTTTTTGAAATTTAAGCAAATATGTATATAATTGTAAAAGGTAAATTATACACTCCTCATATCAAGCCTAACTACACACTGTGGTCAAAATAAAGTCTAATATGACCATTAAAGATCAAAGGGCTTCTAATTCAATAGTATCACTCCTTCATCGTCAAAGAAAAGGGGAGGGTTCGAGCACACGGGGCAAAATGTGTTTGAGTGGGCCCCACCCAAATGAGATTGAATATAATTGTAAATGAGTTAATGGGCTTGGCCCAACTGATGCAGGAAAAACAGGTTGTCTGACCCGTTATTAAGGCCCGAACCAAATGAGATTACTACTTTAATCAACAAACAGTTGAGCCCAAGCAAATAACTGATATTTCAAACTAGCCGTTATAACGGAAACTTGAACGTCATCTCATCTCTGTATTTCAACTCCCAGTGCTCTGCTTCAGCATCCGACTACAACAGCCAACTGGTCTTGTTGGCTCACAGGCACTTTCCCCTTTTTTTTTTTTTTTTTTTTTTTTTTTTTTTTGTGAAATACCTCTGGGCCCTGTTTGTTTAGACATAAAATATTTTACTCGAAAAAGATTTTTTTTTTTCAAGTAAAAGTTTTTTTTTTTTTTTTTTTTTTTTTTTTTTTTTTTTTGGCAAAGGTCTAGGTTGAGTCTATCAGGTGGGACGTATTAAATAACTTGCTGAAAATTGATGTGTAAGTTATTATTATTAGGTTTTTAATTTTTTTTCTTTTTTCTCTTTGTAAATATTTATAATATTCAAATACCAAAAAATAAAAAAATAATTTTAAAAAATATTTTACATCCAAACAAACGGAACCCTAGTGTCATTCTTTTTATATTTTAAATTAGAGTAAATTTCAATTTTTTTTAAAAAAAAACCATACTATTTTAAATGAATAGGAGAATAAAAATGTTACAGAAAAAGTAAGACTCCGACTAAAATGAGGTATGGCCTAGAAAATGCAAAGTTGTCGGCTAACATTGAGTTGTTACTGTGCTAAGTTAGTAACATGTGCGACGTCAAGTTAAATGCAATCGTTCCATGTTCATGTGGTCTAGCGAACTCGATACAAATCATGATCACTGCCCAGAAAGGGACTGGACGATTGATCTACAGAAAAGAGCCTCGGCTAGCACTTCGTGCATGCGGACGATAGTAAAAAGAACTGCCCCCACCATTTCCAGAATCTAATGCTAGGGTTTGAACTTTGAAGCTCTGACATGACTTGTCACTGAGATCTTTAACCGTTCGAGATTAGTAGTATATAGGTTGGTTCATGCATGAATCCAAAACCTTAGATTCATTGATTGTTTAAATCCTGGGACACAATTAACTAGAATGGTCAGTCTACTAAAGATGTTTTGGACATTATATATGACTTGCTTTTTTTTGGACAATTGATGATGATTTGAGTGGGACAAAGATGTTCTATGAAGTTGGACCTTTATTGTACAAAATTTAACGGGTGAGATTAAATTGATAAATGGGAGCCACTATTGATGATGCAATCTCACCCGTTAAATTCTGTACAAGAAAGGTCCGGCCCTTGGGTACTGGAGTCGCCAAAGTTATGAATATTATTATTATTATTATTATTATTATAAAATTAAGCAAATGTATATAATTGTAGAGGGTAATTACATTCACACCATTGGGCCTAGTTACACTCTGTGATCGAAATAGGGCAAATGCTATAACAATTTTAACCAAGTACATTAATGTAATTGCAAATGGGCTTGGCCCAACTGACGGAGGCAAAACAGTTCATCAGACCCAAGCTGACAAATACATGTTGTTAATGCTTTTTGGGTATGGGTATCTTATATTAAATGCATAATGTTTGTGAATTCCTAGATTCAAGTTTAAGCCAAACTTTTCTAAACAAATATATAGTTACAATCTGAAATTTTTTTTTTTTTTTTTTTCTCCACATATTTTTACCACATATGCATAGAGTGAGTACGGCGAAATGCAAATATTGAGATTGATTTGCAGCAAGATTAGAAAGGATAGAATTATAAATGATTACATTCACGAGAGGAACACAAATAGGAGATAAAATGATTAAAAAAAAAAAAAAAAAATCGGTTAAAATGGTTTAGACATTGACAAAAAAAACCTTTAAATGACCCAGTTAAAAAAAGCGACAAAGTTTACATTAAGGATAATACTAAGAAAAGAAGAAAATCAAAGGTAGTATGGGTAAACGCTCCCAAATTGTTCATTTGATCGCACGGTAACGAGGGGGGGACCCACAAGCAAATGTTACCGTCAGAGTTGAAACACCAAGGTTTAGAATGGTGAGTTCCAAATAGTCTTCACTTGAAGAAGGGTCACCAAAAGCGAATTTAGGTCATTGCAGCTGAAATTGTTGTACGTTAAAACCTTGCTAGTTCAGACACTCAACAGTTGTAGAACACTCGAGTTCCTAACCCAAGGGTACAAAGCCCCAAGCTATCCCATCAAGAGTGTCGCCCCTTCCCTTCATTAAATGCGGCAGCCCCGACATCCCAGTAGGGATCAACTTTTGCCCCCTCACGCGACCCAATGCTAATTTGCAAACCAAGGATTGATCTCAGTCGTTTATGAGAATCTAATCCAACGACGAACGTGATTCAGCCTTAACTATAAATAGAACTCATTTACGCCTTGGCAAAGGTCTGCAACACCTGACATTTCATATTGTCTCTAGTGGGATCCAACATTCCACACTTAGTATTGGTGAAACATACTCCTGTAGTGTAGCTGAAGGTGTATACCTTGGTTCTCTCCAATTATCTTTAGAGTTTTAATGTTCTAGTGTAGCTTAAATTCCCTTGCATTTGTTGTTTTCAGTTCATTAATGTTGTAATTGTTTGTTTTAGTTGTAACTTTACAGGTTGAAAACAGAGTGTAACTAGGACCAAAGCATTGTCACGATCAAGAATTTGTAAGTGATCTTCATCCGCTGTCGAGTTTGTAAATGATCTTCATCCACTGTCCTAGTTAATGACGAGATTGTTACTTTTTGCTAGAACTGTTGGGAGGTCTCTCTCTCAAACTAGAAACCACAAAAATATAACTCCTCGCAAGCCAACAAAGCCCTCTGAGAAGAGCCGAAGGGGCAAGAACTTGTGAGAGGAAGGTTATTTATGCTCTCCATGGGCACCTAAATTAGCCAAGGCAAAGACTACAGGCCCACGCGATCATAGCAATAAGAATATTTGCTTATCCTTGGTCCAAGCCAGCTTCGTCACAAATTTGGACCTTAACGGTCTTGACACGCTCTTGAGCAAGAAAATCTCATTTACATTCCGTAAGCACGATTTGAACCAACCGATGGGTAAAATTAGTAAAGAAATATTTGATAGCATATGATTTGACTGAGGCTATGAGCTTATATAGAACATAAGGAAAATATGTTATTATACTTTTATACTATGTTCTGAAAATTACATAAATTAAGTAGAAAAAATTTGAAACACAAATTCATTGAATTTCACGAATATACATACTTTCGCACCCAATACTTTTTGAAGAATATTTATGAAATTATTAAGAATGAAGATATTATAGAAAAAAATTGTTAAGAGGGGTAAGTCAACGCCTTTAAAGGGGAGGTCAGTTTAATTTTTTTTTTTTTTAAAAATAGTCCAGTGGTATTAGGGCAAACATTAGGGAGATCAGTGCTAATTAAGCACTATACACTTCGAAGGCGCGTGAGTGAGTGGAGACCGTTAACCCTCTATGAAACTGTATTCTCCCTCACAAGGCACAAAATGGGAAGAGAGTAGAGAGAGAAGCAATCGTCCCGACAGAAGCTCAGAATCAGGTGCCAAAAAAAAGGAAAAAAACCCTAACCCTAACTCTAACTCTAACTCAAACTCTTCGTTAAAAAACCGATGCGTGTTGTGCTCTCTCAAGAATCTCCATTTCATCATCTATAAAAGAGTATGCTACTTTATGATCGAATCATGGTCCAATCGGATCGCTTCTAGGGTTACGATTGAAGACTACTACTATTATGCAAATCATCAAGCACAACGATGATTTTGTTCCTAGAGTTTCGTTCGAGAGGCATCGATCGTCCTATGTATGTCCTCTCTCTCCGTTATTGCTCATCGATGGTCTCTCTCGGAAGAGTCTCTCCTACAACAAGCTCCCTCAGAAACCCCTCAAGCTCACCGTTCTCAAATTGGATGACTCTTCCTTCGGTAATTCTCTATCTCTCTCTTTAGAAGTTTCTCTATCTATAATTTTTTTTTTATTTTATAAAATTTCACTAATTTGAATTTCGATTTGAATATGTTGATATGTTTATTTGTACAGATATTGAAGTTGCGAAGACAGCTACAATTGCAGAGCTGAAGCTGGCCGTGGAGGCTGTCTTCAATCATATGCCGAAGAAGGGACCTGGCAAGATTTCATGGTATGGAATTATTCTTCTTTTTTAAAAAAATTTTATTTTTGGTATAAAAATAGCAATAAAATTAAGGCTTACATAAAATTAGCTGAAATGTGAAGATTATACCAAGGACAAACAAAATACTAGTAAATGACCATGAAATTTCTAATCTCATCCAACAGCATTGGTTGTAATAGTGGCTTTAAATTTGTAATGCTGCCCTCTACACAATGACTCTGTTATTTAAAATGCTACGTAAACCAAAATGGAACCATGCAATTTTCATCGGGATCTGATATGACATTTAGTACTTCTCTGCGTTATTTTATTTTTCTATTTCCAATGGTATGGCTACACAAGGAGATAATGGCCCCTTACCCATAAGCTCCCACGCTGTTCCATGTCCTTATATTGGGACTTAAACCGTGCACCTTTCCTTAAAGAGGAGCAATGGAGCAGAAGATAGGACTTCAGCTAGACAGCTGGTGGTTTTTTTATTCAATTTGTCAAATTTTATCATCATTATTTGCTGGTTAAGTTGATAATAGGTATCTGTAGAGTGTCTTATTTAAGTTGGTTCTTTCCTAATACAATTAATATGGTGATGTTGTATTTAAGTTCATAACTGGACACTTGTATATATATATATATATATTAAGTTTTTTTTTTTTCAAGAAAATTGATATAATGTTCCAATTGTTTATCGAATGCTCACTTGTATTCTTTATCTTGACTTGGTTTTTAAATCAAATTTATACACGGAGGCCGCACGTGTGGGGGCATTTCTGCTTATGTTATGATGGTCAGAAGCTACTTACTGACAGGGACTGTATTATAATTTATGGGATCAAGGATGGTGATCAGGTCAGCGTTGTGTTTCTATAAATTATTTTTTTGTTACCAAATAATATAAATATACACATCAATTCCATATCGAAGAGATATTCCAACTATTATTATCTGCTCAGTTGTACATAGTTTACAAATTCCTTTCTACATGTGTATGCATATTGCACGTTCTTATATATTTATATATTACATCTCTGCCAATTGGTTCTGTTGGAACTCGCAATGCTTCATGCATCTCATATTTCCATTCCTGAATGCATACTTAGTACTTTATTTTCAACTCATGTGTTTCAAATTTATACTTGATTTGAGACTTGATTAAGAATTGGTTTGGTTTTTAACTGTTTTTGAACTGGTCTTGTCATGAATATGTTGGCTTCTTAATTATTTTGTAGGAAATCAGAAGCTTCTTGCCCGTGTTTAACATGGGTTCTCCTGATTTAGATTTTTTATAAATACTTTTAAGTTTTTTTAAGATTAATTATATCAAAGAAACATAAGAAGGAAATATTTGTTCATGCCCAAATTTTCTCACCCTTATATCACTTAAAACAAACCACTCTATTCATTAAAAGAAATAGCACATCATATGCAGCAGAATGTTCTTCAGTGCATCACTAAATTTTATCATTTCCTTTATCGTCTCACTGAAGGTTATTGTCTACAGAAAGAACTTGCTTATGGAATTTGTTTGTTCATTGAATTGAGCTGATATGGATGTCTACAGCTATCCACACAAGATATAAAATATAATCCCTACCAAAAAAAATTAGAGAAGTGAAACTGCAAAGCCTTGGGGGCTAAAGGAGAAAGGAAAAGGACCTTCTTTAGTGACCTTACACTGAAACAGAAACACAAATATAACATCCAATCTAACAAATTAGTAAAATATTACATTAATATAACAGATGATAGACGAGTATAACTAGGACTGCAAGGTTCAGTAGGATAGAAATAATAATTGAAAATTAGAAATCTGTTTATATCAACTTGTTTCCTATTCACTGGGAAAAAACTTACATGTTTTAGTAAGAATTTCCATGTGCAATGCATGAATACAATCACTTGCCTCATATAATAGTAGTATTTGTGAATTATAAAGAAAAGTTTTTCATACAAAATATGGCAAATGGTGTGTAGTGTTAAATTTGTCATGTGGTTTGTCATCAATTTTTGCTTTTGTCATTGCTCTCCTTATGTACTTTACATGGACTAAAGTACATGTTTTTGGTATGGGTACATGTCTAAGCTTTGGATATTTTAAATCCTCGATTCTTGATATGAGGACAGGGCAACATTGATAACTTTTATTATTATTCTTTTATTTTTTGGTGTAAAGTATTCAATAATTGGTTTCGCTCATTTTCAATATAACACAAGTAGCACAATAAGAAATAATGGTAAACTTTTATTTACAATTACATAATAAACTTGAATTACCTGATATGTTTTTTAGGTGATAACAGGCATGGGAGCTTCACTCATTTAAAATTCTATGTAACAGAGCTCCATAGGAGCTATTGATGGGTATCTGGTAAAAAGTGCAATGTACATATGCATAAGAGGTGATATTCTTCCCGTGATAATCTCATTATGAGATGCAGGCTGTGGTTTTGGTGAGGAGCTAAAAATGGATGGAGATAGAATATGTGTGTAGCACAATTTGGTAGCCTGACCCTTGATTAAGGCATGGATAGAATTGCTTTCTGTAAGAGGTTTGACCCTTCATGCCTCAGGTATACTAATCAATGGGTCCCTGGAATTCGCCAAAGGTCATCATCCCTTGTAGGATGGCCCTTCTTAAGATGTTTGGACCCTTTACGCCTCAGGAAGACCAATGGCTTGGGTTTTTACTGGGTCTTCAGCAGACAGATGCTGTTTGCTAACAAATTCTAATTCTGTCAATACATTGGATGAAATTTTCTTTCTTCTGAGAAAGAATTACATTTTCCTTTTTTTCAGTGTACATGTATTTGCACCCAAATGTGGGAAGCTCCATGTTGCCATATTGATCGATGAACAGAGACTAATTTCCAATTATAGAAACAGTGGTGATATTTAGGCCGATGAGTTTGGCAGAATTCTTTAACCGATTGCCCTTGATTGGTCATTTATACAAGAGATAAGCAAGTGGGGGTCCCACTTCCTTATATATTGCATACATTGACCAATTAAAAACATTCGGTCAAAGAATTCTGCCAAACTCTTCGACTTTAAATCATTTCCCTTATAGAAAAGTTATTTAACATTGTTCTTTAAAAAGATGATCATATGGCTCAAGAAGTTGTGAGACAATATGTTAAAGTTAAGCCAAAGCAACAAGTGTGATATCAAACTGGGTTTAGACCAGTTGATAAAATAAGAACTCATGCGAGATTGGTCTTTAGGGGGCTATCGGTTTAAAGACAAATACTAGTGAAGCATTACAGAAAATCGGTCAAATAGATCAGACCGATTTAGGTACATGGAGTGCCAGTAAAGTGGTCCAGGAATTTCCAATCATAACACCCGGTGTCACAATTCCATCGATAGAAGCATGATATATATGAGACCAATTAGGCATTCTAGGAATTTTTTGAACCTAAACACTTGAGAAATGTTCGGAAAAATATGAAAGACTGAGGTATTCCATGTAGCTTTGGTCAGACAGCGCTAAACACCAAAAGATTAACATCAGTCTGTTCACAAGAATATAGACCAATGACAAGTACACAAACTTTTTAAATATGTGAAAATGTGCTGAAACGGACCACATAACTTCATTGGTACCCCAAGCTTGAACCAGATCAGTTACTTAAGATTGAAGGCTATGAGGTGAATATTATACGCCAATTGATAGACAGTAGCCAAAACAATGGTCTTACAACATTTACTAATTTCTTGAGCAAGCAGACTAGAAGACTAGATAAGACCGAGAAAAACAAATGTGACTAGAAAAACCAATTTGCTGGACATATGTAACTAAGATCGGTCAATTGGAATTACCTCTAATGACTTGTAGATGGTTATTGTGGTTGCTAACATTGAGTAAGCAATTATAGTGTGCAAAGTGGGGGTAAAATCAACCAAAGCAGTGTTGGTGGTCAGTTAAGCAATTGCCCCACTTCATCCACAACCCACTTCTCTAGAATAGTGGATCAAAGACACTGGACATGTGCTCAATCAGGTAATCACTAAGAACATGATCCTATGTTCCAACAGATAAGGAAGAGTAGCCTGAAGTCATGGTATACATGCCAAAAGAGGACCCGTCCACCTCAATAGAGATAATTGCTCTCAACTGCACGTAACTGCACCAATGAAAGCTACAGATAGGGGAAGTATTTAGGGTTCCCGACATTAACTCACAACTATGTCTTTATCTTGTCTTCCATAGCTTATAGATTTTATGTCTCTTTTAACCTTCATAGGCTAGTCTTAGTCTTATAGCCTTAGCAGTAGCTTATAGCCTCATTCTGTAGCTTTAGCTATAACATTCTAGTTGTAATCCAATACCATCCCACTTAACCTTTGTTATGTCTTTAGTTTGTAGTCATTAGCATTATTAATGGAATCCGTTCGTTAATTCATATGCCACTCCAAATGTCAACACATTCTCATAAATAACATCCATGCATGCATAGGCAACTGTCCAAAAATCAAATCATCACAATTATTCGATAAAAAACATGTGGGTGGCTCTGATACCAGTTGAAGAAAAACAAAAACGGTTTTAAAAAATTTCAAGATCTTTACCACGTGACTTTTCATCAAATCAAAGCCACTAAGATTGAACTAGTACCTTTGGAAGATTAGTTAATCGCTTTCCTTGAACACTAGTGAAGCTTCACCACTATGTCCTTTTAACAGATGACCTCGGCTTGTGGGAGTCTCTTAGACTCGCTCTCTGTCTTTCTCTGTTAAGAATATATCACATATGTTATTCTTAACAAAGACCTGAGAAATCAATATATATATACACCATCTTATCAGAAGGGCTAGAGATAAGGATCAAAGGGTTTTCTAATCCTAAATCTGATTGGAAAGTGATTGAGTTATCTCATAATTCAATCCTATCCAGTTAATTACAATAATTACCAATATTTTATTGTCATTGCACTCTAGGATTTGGAAATTACAACAAGAACTTGATATAAGTAAGCCTTAAGTGGGACAATATTTGATTTTCCTAGGGCTACTTGTGGATATTTGATAGTGGAGGGGCTTATACCCTAGGTGGGATAGTATTAAGTTGTCCTCTATGGCTGCTCTTGGATATTTGGTAGCGGAGGGGCATATACACAATTACTTAATACTACGGAGCCTTGGTGTAATTTTTAAATTCTATAGAGCAATTAGAATAAAGTAGTAATAATTATTGTAAGTAATTGGATATGATAAGAGTTATGAGATAACTTAATCACTATCCAATTAAAGCTAGGATAAGGAAAGCCTTTAATCCCCTATCTGATAAGATGGGGATATATATCTATCTCGTAGGTCTCTGTTGAGGTTAACATACATAAAATATTGTTAATATAGAAATATAAAGAGTGAGTATGAGATACAGAGATGGCTCCCACAAGCCTAAATATCTGTTAAAAGGACATGGGGTGAAGAATCTCTAGTAATCAAGGCTGAGATTAATCCTTGTTTTGTATATCAAACGAACATAAAATCTTTGAAGGTATGAAATTAAATCCTTTGAATGTTGATTTGACGAAAATCACGTGATAAAGATTCTGAAAAATTTTCAAAATCGTTTTCACTTTCCTACATGGTACCTCTCTCTTATTTTGTGTTCTATTTTTTCATATATTTGATAATAGAATAATAACCTAATGCTTTGTTCAGTAGGAAAGAAAAAAATTGGATGGAAGGGAGAGAATAAGGGATGGATGAGACATCCCTAGGGAAGAGATTGTCTTCTTTCTTTTTGTTCGGTTGGATAAAAGAGAAGAGAATGAGTTCATTCGTTAGGAGAGAAGGATTAATAAAATTTTAATTTGTTTTTACCATTATGTCCAGTAATTCATAGAGGATAGTACTGTAATTTAAAACTTGTGTAATTTAGGATAGTATTTAATTTAAAACTTCTACAATAATCCACTTTCTTCCCCCCTCTCTTCCACCCATTATTGGACGGATGAAAATTTGTAAAGAAGAAAGGATGGCACATCCCTCCTATTTTCCTTTCTTTCCTTGTATCATCCTTATCGAATAAAGAAAGTTTGTTCTTTCCTTCCTATTTTCTTTCCACACTTTCTTCCTTTCTTCCTACTAAACAAAGCATAAGAGAGATAATCGCCTTTTAAATAAATCGGCTAGAGATGAGGATCCAAAGAGTTTCCTTATCTTAGCTCCAATTGGATATTGATTGTGTTATCTCATAGAGGAGTGCTAGGGACAGTAGCGCCCGCGACTTTCCCTCCATAGTCGTGCACTATGATTGGATAACCAATAACAAACTTGACAAGTTTCCTTTTTCATTTTTTGATTTTTTATCACAATTTTCTTATACCCTCACTTTTTAAAAATATTACAAGTACTACCATTATAAAAGTGAGAGTATTACTCTTACTTTTATAATGATAATACTTGTAATATCTTGAAAAAGTGAGTGTATAAACAATAAGATCATCATTACTATCACTCTTAAATATACCATTACTTTTGTATAATATTACAAGTACCACCATTATAAAAGTGAGTTAAAAAGGGAGTGTATAAGAAATATTTGATAAGAAGTCAAAAAAAACAGAAAAAGGAACCTGTCAAGTTTGTGATTGGTTAGCCAATCACAGTGCACGACTGTGGAGGGACAGTCGCACGCACTCCTCTATCTCATAATTCTATCATATCCAATTAATTACAATAATTATTGCAATTGCACTTTAGGATTTGGAAATTACAACAAGAATGTGTCCTACTAAATAATTGCATAAATTCCCCTACATATCACATAATAGAGGGCCCCTCTTTTCTCAATGCTCATGGAAAGAGGCACCTGATAGAGCTAGTCCCCGCTGGAAATAGGAGAGTGTGCATTCATGAGGGCCAGGACAATGAGGACACTGGGTCTCAAGTGAGGGTGATTGTGACATTCCACATCACATGGGGGGAGAAGTTGTTGGCACTTATAAAGGGGAATGCCTCCTATCTGTATGGACACGTTTTGAAAATTGTGAGCACTTGTGTAGCGCAAAGCGGAGAGTATCTACACAGCGTGGACCGGATCCTAAGAGATAGTATCGGTCTATCAGAGTCAATCATCAACCAGAAATAAGAGAACGTGCACAAGCCCATGAGGGTCAAGCCAGCAAGGATGTTGGGTCCAACAGGAGAAAGAAGTTGCTGGCACTTCTAGGGGGGGTATTCACATCGCTTGGGGGGAGAAGTTGCCCCCACTTATAAGGGTCATACCTGTGTAGGCGCATTTTGAAAAACTGTGGGCATCGAGAGAGTTTAAATCGGACAATATACACACAACATGGGAAATGGGAGGAGCATGCACAGACCCATTCTTACCACAATGATCCACCCATCACCTATGATTCTCCATCATCACGTGCACAAGCCCATTCTTACTGCAATGATCCACCTATCACCTACGGTTCTCCATCACTACTCCACAATTGAGCACTGGGAGAAATATTAAGTCCTTGGTACCTCCTTAGAATTGCTTGATCTGCACCTCCGCATTATTACAAACCTTCCCTAGCCATGGTCGACCAAAAGAATTATGGCTTGGCACACACCCCAAGTTCATGTCATGTTTTGCCAGACCTGCGAGAGTCGAAAGAAGTTCGAACTACATAAATTTGAATAGTTTGATGTTTAAGGTGTTGGATTGTATATGTCTCAGGAATGTAGGATTGTAATGTTATGCTCTAATGTGGGAGTACGTACAGGTCCAAAACTAGACCTAAAGGGGCTGAATAGCTGTTAAAATACAGTTAATCGATTTTAAATTTTCAACTTCACAATTAATAGAAATTTAAATCATATATCAGTAGGCATGTAAAATAAGTAGAGTGCAAAAATATAAAGCATAAAATCATCCATACACTAGAACACCAATTTTTATGTGGAAAATATCAACGGAAAAAAAACCAGGGACCTAGTTGAGGCAGATTAAATGCACTATCATAGAAAGGTTTACAACTAGGTTAACCAAACTCTAACCCAAGAACCCCCTATTTACTTTTGACCTAGACTCATGTCAGATCATGTAATTCGATCTCTACTATTGCTGATAAATGAAGCCCTTACACCATTTTTTTTTTATTATTATTATTTTTTATGTGAAAAGCCCCAGCATGAAAAAGTCATAGAATCTAGTCCAGGAAGATCAAATCCACAATCAGAAGGTTTACAACTACGTTAACCAAACTCTAACCCAATAATCCCCTAGTTACCTTTGACCCAGTCAACGAATCTGCTCCTCATAAGATCCACTCTTCAACCCGTTTTGATCTCCAAAACATTGATTGTTGGTTAGTTGTGTGGCACTTGATGTTGTGTTAAAATCCTAAAGTCATATGAATTGTATGTTTCAACACTCATGAACACTCACCAGCTTTATGAACCATGAATGATAAAAATAAAAAAAGTCTAGCAATTGGATAGCTAGAATGCACTCCAAATTGCCTCAGAAAAATATATGTTGCTCAATATATGCTTAGCTTTGTTTCTCTTAGCGTTGGTTTGTTGAAGACTAGTGGTCTTTATATAGACCCTGGAGGCAAAAGAAGATCGTGTTAAAAGAGTACAAATCAGATTTGGAAACTGCTTTTTTGCAACTTGCGATTAATCAACCAAGAACTTCGATCGATCGAACTCCGAGTTGTAGTTTTAGTAGGATTTGACTTTCCAAAAATGGTTTAATGCATTCTTAAATACAACTTTGAAAACCAAAACATGCAATTTGAAAAATCTAACAGGCTTAATAAAATAGTTGAATGCATATGAACTCTAAGTTGGTGAGTGCCCAATTTTTGAGTTAAATTAACCCTTTCGCCCTCGTTGAAGCTTTGAATTCTCCCATGTGCTCTTGGGCAGAGGTTACCACAAAAAAAAAAAAAAAAAAAAAAAACACCTAGAAATCAAGATTACAGATTCCGTTTTGTATGAAAGCTATCAACCAAGTCTTATTGACATAACAGTATCGTTTTTGCTTAAAAAATAATCTGATAAGTGAATTTCAAAGGACACAAATAATCTTAGTTTGCGTGACCTTGTAGAGGGGATCACCTTCTGGTAGCATACTTGTTGAGCACAGCTTTGATTTATTCTTGCTCTTCTTTTTATTCAGTTTGATGCCATTATTGGACATAAGATGTCACTGCAGTTTGTTCTTGTTATTCCTTGCCTTTCCTTTTATGAATTCATGGATGTTTATTATGTTCATGTTTTTCATTGTTTGTGAAGCCAAAATACGTTTCATAGAGAAGATCTCTGCTTCTTGTTTCTTCTTGTTTGCTAATATTTATTTTTCTTGGCACTTGCAGCTTCAATTTATCCGGCATGTCTCCATTAACTACAATTTTATAAAGAGCCGATCAAGTGATCAGGAGTCTGATTCGGAACAACCCGGGATGTGAGGCTCTCTAGCTTTTCCTTTTCCTTGTTTTCTAGTTTTTGATGCGCAGTCATAGGTTATTGACTACGTTAATAACTGTTGCCCTACAGCCAGTCTATATAACTGATACCCAGGAATGGGGAACGTGTTCAAGTGTTAGACAGAAATGACAATTCACATGTCACCACTACTGGCCTGCCATTTGTTTAATCTCACTCACAATTCACAAAAATTCAAAACCAGGTGGCTACAACTGTCATCTCAGTTAAAAGCAAAAGATAGACAGGCAGGTATACCACTGGGAATAAGTCGTAATTATGATGACCTGGTGTGCTGGACATCGGCTTAAAGAAGTTTCTAAGTGCTTGTTATCCATACTTGTACACATGGCTTCTAAACAGGATTCTCTCGTTTCCAGTTGCTCATTAAGCATCCCATTGCAGAAGAATCCTGTTCTATAGACAATCTGCCAGCTTATTGGCTCAAAATATGTTTAAAGTCCCTTTTTATTTATTTAACAATTTTATTGATAAAAAGAAAATTGACTCCTGACAAAGTAAAGCTCCTGTCAGAAGGTCGGAGAATCTGTAATAGTTGACTGGGGCTCTGTGATCTGCTGAGTTCTTGGAAAATGATTTCGTAGTTTAAGAACTTGGATACTCACCAAGCACTTGTTGAAACTGTAGATGATGATAATGGGACTAACTTCATGGTTTAAATTTCATCATGCAGGCCGGACAGCTGTGAAGAGAGAGAACATAATGGCGAGAAAAAAGATGGCTGTGATGATCAAGAAAACCTAGATCACTTGCAATATGACAATCAGGTTGAGGATGGTGTTAGACCCAATGCATTTAATTGTTCTCTCTTATTGGGAGGGTGGTTCTCATATCACAGTCTGGCAAGCTCGCGAAGGAGATTTGGAGCCCGTTGTTTGCCATCAAGATTCACTGATGGTTTCTTGGGGAGTTTTAAAAAGATTTCCAGGCATTGCTGTAAGAAATTATTATATCGAAGAGAGTCCCGGAAAGAGGTTTAGTGTTTTTACACCTGCATCGCTGGAACTGCCTGAACTAGTTACTGGAATATGAACTTTGGTACGCACTCAAATCTCATTGGAGCTCCAAATTTTTATTGTTCTGATCCTCCAACAAGCTATGAAAGCTGTCCCCTTTGAGACCTTTTTGATTACCTACCGAAATAACTAATAGGAATATTCCTATTGGTTCCATAGGTATTCAATCCATCCTTCATGGCAGCAATGGTATCATTGTTGTTAATGTTGATAGTCCCATTCTCTTAATTACCAAAGAGAAGGGTGAGACTCAACTGCAATTGTGACAAAAGTAGCCCAATATTTGTATTTGTAAATATTTTTCAAGACATTGAGATATCTGAAAATTATAAAGAACATTGTTGGAAGCAATGAGTTATTGCTAAAAGCTTAAATTTTAGTTTCCATTTTGTTACGAGACCACGTCCAGATTAAGGCATTATTCAATCTGGTCTTGGGGGGAGAACTTGTGACAGAAACATTTGAAATTTCACAAAGTGGCTGCTATAAGTCTCGAACTCACATCAGTAATGCCAATACTTACGTACGTTACTGTTGAATCATAAAAGTAAGTAAATAAATAAAGTAGTAAATCCTTATAATATAACCATGGTTTTGAGACTCGGCCAAATCTACGCGGATTGTCCAGAGTCCAAATCTGACACTCACCGATATAATTCATCCCACACAATCACAGTCTAAGCACTTGTATGAGTTTACCAAGTCAATCCCAAACAAATCATAACTCGTCTCAACTCAGTTTATCTGTAGGATATTGAACCGAGTCAAATGCGACTTGATTGACAGGGTATTGAATTGATTCAAAACAACCAGTAATTTCTTATTTATATTTTTTGTTTCCTTGATAAATAGATTGGATTATGAATGACTAAAGAACTCTGTTGTTTACTGCACAACTATGTGTACTGGAGGAATACCGTATATTCTTGTGACATGCTTAGTTTTGATTCTTCTGAAATGGTGCTAACTTTTAGTGTCACGTAATGTTCTTGTTAGCTTTGTTCATGGTATTTTTATTTGTGGGTTTTGCTCAAATTCCTTATATTATATTCTGTCTGTGTCTGTGTCTGTGTGTGTGTGTTTGTTAGTTTGAACTTTAAATTATTTGTTCATTGTCTGTGTTCAAGCTTGAAGGCACTCACTTTGTTTAAATAATCTCAACTTTCAGGTGAGGTTGATGGCCGAAGTCCCCAATAGAACAATAGTGGGTGTATTGAGTATGTGTCTTACCTATCCAAAAAATGTACACACACACACACATATTTGTAACAGACCAGGTCTTCATCCAGTTGGATCCTCATTATCATCAGTACAATTGTATGCCATACAACTCTTTGATGGTAGAGGTGACACAGAGAATTTCGTATATATATATATATATATTTCTTTCATTTGAATGCTTACTTCCTGCCTTGTTGATCATTTGTGCATATGCAGCTGGTATCGTTTTAGTTGCTTGTGTGTTGCATTACCTTAAGAACTGTTACTTGTTAAGCATAAAGTCGCATGAATTTTTAGCAAATTCTGATGGTAAATCCCAAAATTTTCCATTTTCATTCTGAAGTTTGGTCATAATGTGGCCAAGAGGAAATTGGCAAACTTGCCAGTTTTTCACTTCCATTTGCATTCCTTCAGGTATTAACCATTTTGAATAGAGTAGTGATTTACAGACCGAGTTTGGCAATCACCGAATCCCATATTCAGTAACTGCCCAATTCGACTCACAAATCATTATTCTTTTGAATATTGGTACAATATATTGTTATATAAGCTTCATATAGTCCAACCATTTCATTTTTCCATCCATTCCTTGTGAAAAAAGAGTTGTCCGCATTCATTGCAACAATTATAGATAACTTGTCTTATGTGGTTGCCTCTTTCTGCTTATATGACATTTTAGTAATTGGTATTTGGGACTCTTGAACTTAATTCGGATGAGAAAATGGGTTTTTGGATTTTTTTTATTTTATTTCTCTTGACAACCCTGAAAATCAAACTTTCTTCTAAAGTTTGTGTTTCTTAATGTTTTTAAAAAAAAAAAAAAATAAGGATAGCTTAGCTGTGCTTTTATGCCCTAACCAGTTAGGGTCATTGATTGTAGACATCCAAGTTTAGCATTCTAAGGTACCCCATGTTATTGGGAAAATTGTTGTTGAAGATTGTTAGGAAAAATAAAATAAAATCATTGTATTGTATATTAAACTGTTTTATATGAGTCTGATTTTCTTGTTTAGTTTTGACTTATGAGCTTTGTATCTTAAGGTTGTCAAGGCATATGCCCTCAAATCAAGAAAATGAAGAATAATGATATAAAAGAATAGAACTTGTTCCAACTTCCAACTTCCAACTTATGTGTTGTATACGTTATACATACATACATATATATATATATATATAGAGAGAGAGAGAGAGAGATGGCACAAGCCGCACAAACACTGAAATGAAACTGACTGAAGATTGTTTGATACTTTCACGCCACTCCTTGATTCTCTCCATTACATAATTTTGTAGTGTGCTTTATCGTATTGTGCATTTAAGTTTAAAAATTATTTTTCTAACCTTTTGAGATGCAAAATTGCTTATATTAAAATTTTGTATTCAATATTATTTATTTTTCAATAAATAATATAGCTAGTCTATTTAATCTTTATACTAGTTTCTCATGTTTTTGACTTATTCATATTCAAATTCACATTTTTTAGTAGACATAGTATAAAATAGGAAATTCTTGCAAGTAGAATGATCACTCTTTATAATTAAATATATACTAAGATTTGTAAGGGTAAATTCTAACGTAAAAAAAAAAAAAAAAAAAAAAAAAAAAAAAAAAAAAAACAATTGGTTATAGGATCATTAAGCGTCATCCAATTTATTATGAGAGAAGAAAAGTGTGAATGAATACGAAAATTCGTAGTAAGAGAGAGAGGGCATGAATGGACCAAAAAGATTAGAAAAGAGAAAAAGTAGGAATATTAGGACGCTTTTCACAGCAAGTTAAGGTTAAATTTAAAGTTTAAAACCTATCAAGAGAAAAGGCAATGTAAAAAAGAGAAATAGAGAATTATATAGAAAACTTTATGTGGGGCTCATCTCGTAAGGATTTTTTTTAATTGCATAGTTGTCTGTCACGTGTCCATCAATAATTCACCCCTTGACTTTTATCCGTTTGTAAAAAACCACCCTTATGAATCAAAATATTCCCCTAAACTATCCTACGGGGGACTTTAACTGATGTCCATTTAAATGATTTGCTAAGCCATTTTTTTGGACGAAATTGCCTCTTAACCGTAAAGGACTTTTTTATTATTATTATTTACTCTCTCGCCACGTCAACAATTTTTTTATTGTTTTATTCATACAATAGTGTTTCAATATTATAATTGAATTATATATTTTTATGGGGCTTGTTGAATGTAAAGAGTGTTTCAATATTATAATTGAATCATGTATACTATAATACTATACACGTGTGTGAATATTAAATCAAATTTATTTTATTTACTTTTATCCTATCAGTGTGAAACCATATTATAAGTCAAGTTTATTTTATTTTTTATCCTATTTTATTTACTTTTATTTTGATTTACTTGGTGTAAAACAGTGAATCGATTCTATAACTTTTGTAAAGATTGAGTCCAATCGTGAACAAATGGAAATAAAATTCATTTTAGGCTGTCACCAAAAAATATTAAGAAAGCGTGGATAATTTGGTAATAGTGTATATTTACTAAACAGGCGTTAGTTAAAGTTACCCCTTCGGGATAGTTGAGGAGGATTTTTTGCTAAAAATATTCATAAAGGGGATTTTTTGCAAACGGGTGAAAGTCAAATGGGCTTTTTTTGGCAATTCGCCCATAATTTTATAATTGAGTGAAAGTATCGCATTAATGTTAATTTTTCTGTTAAATTTAGAGTAAAGACTCGTGTCTCGTTCTTGCTTGGTAAGGGTTGATATATATATATATATATTCGTAAAGTACGTGTATCAGGAGTGCGATTCGAAAATAATATCTCAAGGACTTATCTCCCGAATCCCTTCGGAGCCAGGATTTAAATTCGGTGGGCACAGTACCAAAAAAAAAAAAACAAAGATAAAGTTTAAGAAGTAGAAGAAGGGGAAAAAAAAACAAAGAAGAAGTTAAAGAAAATTTTGGAAACTTAATATTTTTAGGGTATGATTGAATAAAAAAAAAAAATTGACTTTTTTGTAAAAGAAATTTAAAAAGTAAATGAGGAAAAAAATGAAAAGTTAAGAGAATTTTAAAAACTTAATATTTTTAGGGGGGTATAATATATAAATTTCTATATATATATAAATAATTTTAAAAATTCATACATATTATATCAGGCGGGGGCATGTGCGCCCTCTGCATATGCTGGCTCTACCCTACCTACCAACGCGACTATGCCTTAGAGACAAAAGTTGATATATTTTGGAGATGAAAATTTTGAACATTCTGTTGGATCTCATGAACTCTTTTTTGGCTTGTAATGTTATTACAGTCCCTATAGATCTAGTTAAGAGTAAATTTTAGCATTCCACGATACAAAGACATGCCTATCACTAGACATGGATGTTCTCATATGCCCAAGTCTCTTTTATTACAATTGATTGACTAACAAAATGGTTTCATTATCTTGTTTTTAATAGTATTTATTATTTGACACATTTGACCTTGGCTAAAAAAATTGGATTGTAGCCTACTTGGCTACTTCCATTCTTTAATGTTTTATTTATCCTTCAAAAAATTGGAGGAAACTATGGAAAACAATTGGAGAGTTTGTTATTACCACTTTGTCCCTCTGAATTCTTGTTTGTTTTTGTCCCTCATAAAAATAAATCAATTCATTTCTAAAACATTCTTTTTACTAATATGATTAAAAATAGAAAGAAGAAGAAGAGAAGAAATTACGTACTATTGTTGGTGCAAAATTCAACACAATTCAGAATTGAAGCATTTGGAGCATTTCTTGCAAAGGAAGAAAAATAGGTGACCGAAGCACCCATTTAATGGTCAAGTGTTATGAATATAATTTAATGGGTTTATACGACTACTTAATAGTTTTGGGGTAAATAAATAAGTATCCACCCGTTATAGTTAGTATCAGAGTCACACCTAATTCTTAATTCGGTGCCATGCCAAGCAGCCGACCACTTACTGAACTTTAAAAAGTTAATAGCATTACGCTAACTTCAAACTATTTGAATTTCGTGTTGGCCCGACTGACTTGAGCTACAATATTCTCTATCAACTATAATCTTATCTTTTCTTTCCTTTCCTTTTGTTTTCTTTTCCTCTACTTTGTTATCCAAATATGAAAAAGAGTTTAATTAACACTATTTTATTTTCGGTATTATATTTTCCTTGCATTTTTTCTTATTTATCCAAACACATATATTTTTCGATAAATATATTCTATTATTAAAAAAAAAAATTAATAATAATTGGCGGAAATAACCACTCTCATGTAAATGAGGAGAGAATCTGATGGGCCCACCCTCAGTGATGGTAAGCTACGGAACTGGATCATAAATTAGCTGTTCTTTCGTCTGCAGTTACTCCGCTTCTCTCTCGCTTTCTCTCATCGATATTTTCTTTCGTTGACAGCTTCCCACGAACATTAATGAATCAATTTTAGTTTGATTTATATATATATACATATATATACATATCAGTTTTCAATTCGTCGACAAATCGGTTCATTTCCTTCAATTGCTCTCTCTACGTATCAGTTAAGTGTTTCTCCGTTTATATTTTGGTTTTATTTTGAATGATTTTCTGTTTGTCGGTTGTGTGAATTTTTCATGTATTATTTCTTACCATTTGTTTGGTTGCTGAGAAACTGGAGGAAACTAACAGAATTTCAAACCCTGATTCCTTATTTGTGTACGTGTTCCTCTAATTTTCTCAGCAACTCAGAATAGGGATTAAATCCTGTTCGTTTATATTAATATTATTAGGATTTGGATTTTAATTATTATATTTCTTCTGATTATGGAAGTTTCTGTGTACGTATTGGTTGAACTTTGTCTGATTTATTAGAGTCTGGTAATTTAGAGAGTGACAGAAAGTAAACGGAGATTATTTTTTCTGAGAGCTTTTAACATGATTTGGATGATTAATTTGTTAGAAGTTTTGAAACATAACCACAATTAACAGTGATTTATTTTGATACTTGTGTGTATGGAGGTGAGAGTAAAGTTTTGGCCAAGTTGTGAATTAGGTAGCCGTGATTCTAGTGGAACTTGGCAATGGCTTTTACCAGAAAAATTATTTTTGGGGTCCAGAAGAATTCAGCCGGAGAATATATGTGTCTATGTATATACTTCTCGTGTTGATCCCTACATTTTGAAGCCTTTTCATACATTTAGGCTCAATGTTTGATCTAAAATATTTTTTTTTTGGTGTTTGGTTGTCATAAAATATTTACCAAAAAATATATATATATTAAAACCTAACAAAAATAACTCAGGGTCAGTTTGGTGCAATGGAAAAGGGAGGAAAGGAAAGGAAAGGAAAGGTGATGGAGGGTGATTAAAAAATTGTGTTTGGCAAAAATAGTTGGAAGGAAAGGAAAGTAGAGGGAAGGCTTTGGAAGGTTATCAATAGGTTGAAACAGTAACTTCCTTACCCTCCCAAAAATGGGAGGAAATGGAAGGAAAGTGAAGGTGAGGCTTGATGTATCATTTGTGATGCCAATTTTACCCTCAAGATTACACTTGATTTTAGGGCATGTACACATACAAGTTAGTAGTTGCAGAGAGAGGGGGGCAAGAGAGTTGAGAGAAGGCGGGCCAGTGGCTGAAGCTTGCGAATGGCGAACCCAAACTGGAGCAGCGGGCGATGGAAACTGAAAGATATGGGTTTTGATTTTTTGAACAATCTGAAATGATATGCCGATATGGGTTTTGGTATAGGTAATAGGTGTTGAACTTTTGATTCTTGCAGACAGATTGATAAGCTCAAATATATGGGTTTTGAACTTCAGATTCTTGTAGATTTTGTAGTTTGCAGTTGCACAGAGAGAGAGAGAGAGGCAAGTTCAGAGTTGAGAACGATAATTGAGATGGAGGCGATTGGGGAGGCTGAAATGATTTGCCCTAAAATTTTTTTTTTTTTTTTTTGGGCCTATAAAGTTTGAGGCCCCATAAATTTATCTTTTAAAATATAGAAGGGCATAATAGTAAATTTACTAAAATACCTTCATTTCCTTTCTTTTCCCAAACATAATTATTATACTTTCCTTTCTTTTCCTTTATTAATCAACCAAACACTATAGGGGATTAAAATTATCCTTCCCTTCCCTTCCCTTTCCCTTATAACTAATGTTATCTTTTCTTTTCATTCCCACCATACCAAACATAGCCTTACCTTTCGGCAAATTTTTTTACACGCCCCTCAACCTAGACCTTTGCCAAACACAAGAAAATAAAAAAATAAAAAATAAATAAATTTACCTGGGAAAGAAAAATATTTTCGAAACAAATGAGCCTTAATTCAAAATAGCCTCAAGAATCAAGAGATTCATAGTTTCTTTAAAACTCTCTTTCAATTAAGTCATGAGTAATAATAGAAAATTATATTTTGCCACCTCAACATCACAATAACACGGCAATGAAAACCACAACTCCCACAAACTCTTTGTGCTAAAAACAAACTACCTTAAAAATTCTCGAATAAACTTTTTGATCTGAAAATATGCGAAAATTTTACCCTAGGTATGGAGCATGCTCATAATGCATACTGCCTTCTAGTCCTTTTTTATTGTGAGAGTTTATCTTAAGAATATATGATCTCTCTCAGTTATCTATCATTGCCTCACCCTGTTCAGTTTTCAAAGTTCTTTCCCTTTACTCATCCCCTTTTTTAACTTGTTTAATTGAGAAATTTTAAGACCGACTCTTCTAAAAGCACAAGTTATTGTTCATGAATGGTGGCGGCTTCAACGAATTCTATGTTATCAGAGAAACAGCTTTCTTACCCTCTGACTTCACCTGCAAGTCTTAAGCATTTAATTTGAAACATTTTTAGTTAAAGTCTACATGTATGGCCAACCTTGGAAGTGTGAGATCCATTTGCAGAAATGTTCTTTTTAGTGTTCAAAGGAATTCAGAATCTGAATGTTCAGTTCCAAATTATTTCAAAAGGTGTTTGTTGCAAGTGGTGCCTATTGCAGCTGAGAGAAGTCAAGTCGCAGTGAGAACATGTGGAATGATATCAGGTCCTTTCTGCTTCATATGCTAAAGCATCTCACTCTCTGAGTAAGAGATGCTTGAGCTTGTAAAGCACGGTGTTTCTGCAACCTTTTATTGCATCTTCGAATAATTATCTTTTTCCAAGTTGATTTAACCCTGGCTAACTTTCATGATGCATGAACTGTGGTCTCTCTGCAATCTTCTCTCGCATGAATTCAATGTCGAAAGAAGTTCATGTATGCTTGAATCCTGATTTTAAAAAGTTTTGTATCTGCCTATGCCTTAGATAGACTGAATTGACATTCTCACACCTTACTTAATGAGCTCTTTTCCAAAAATAATTATCTTAACCCTGATCCATTTGAAACAACCATCTCATATCAGCTTGAGTTTTCCTTCATAATGATTTATGTGATATTGGCTTTAGTTGAACTGTTCATTCAATGTTTAGTTCATGATGTTTCAGAAAGAGGGATGGCTGGACAAGTAGTTAGCAATAGACCAGCGACTTCCTTTGAGTTTGAGCTTGTTGAAGGTGATCCTGATCACCCTAGGAATGTTGAAGCATCGCCAAAGTTGATCAATCCATGGATTGACCCTGCAACAATAAAACTGAGACACAGAATTGGTAGGGGTCCCTTTGGTGATGTTTGGCTAGCAACTCATCATCAAACAACTGAAGATTATGAAGAGTATCATGAAGTGGCTATCAAGATGTTGCATTCTATTAAGGAGGATAACATTAAGGCTGTATTAGGTAAGCTTGATAATCTGTTTTCTAAGTGCCAAGGATTAGAAGGCATTTGTTGGCTGCACGGCATTTCAATTATAAGTGGAAAGGTACGTCTTCTTTTAAATTTGACGATAATACAGTATAGTCTTTTTTTCATACTTATTGCTCAATGTTATATATGTCCTTCAGATATGCATTGTTATGAAATTCTATGAGGGATCAGTTGGTGACAAAATGGCACTCCTTAAAGGGGGCAAGCTATCGCTGCATGATATTTTGAGGTGACATTTGTCTTGTACAGATAGGATTAGATCTTTTCTTCTTCTTGTTTCTTTAATGTATAAAATAGAAAGGTGACATGTAATCCTCATTTTATGGTGATGTTTACAGGTATGGGATTGATATGGCTCAGGGAATTATGAAGCTGCATTCAAAAGATATCCTGGTTCTTAACCTTAAACCTTTTAATTTCCTTTTGAATGAAAATGACCGAGCAGTTCTTGGAGAATTAGGGATTCCCTATGTACTGCTGGGAATTCCATTACCAAGTTCAAATATGGCTCGAAGACTTGGTACTCCAAACTACATGGCTCCAGAACAATGGGAACCAGAAATAAGAGGACCGATATCCTTTGAGACCGATTCATGGGGGTTTGGTTGCAGCATTCTGGAGATGTTGACTGGTGTTGTGCCTTGGTTTGGGAAGTCTGTTGATGAAATATACCGTTTAGTTGTGAAAAAACAAGAAAAACCGCAAATTCCTAGTGGCCTTCCTCCTGCAGTTGAGCATGTCATTATTGGTTGTTTTGAGTATGACTTAAGGAGTCGTCCCTTAATGGAAGACATCTTGCATGCTTTTAAAAGGTATCCCTTCTATTTTTTTGTTTTCTTTCTAGAGCTTGAGAAATAGAAAGAATTTTTTTTCTATATATTGTTTATGTTTCTTAGTAGGTGCGGGCATTTTCCATCCTTTTGCATTTGGATTAGAATGCTTTTCTTATTGGGCTGCATTTTGGAATTTGACTGAAATAAAGACAGGTTGCTACTTGTTATCACTTCATTCCATGTCCACGGAATGAACTTCTCTACAGCTAATTAGGGGAAGTGGTTACATGGGTGAATGGTATGTGAGTTTGACCATTCAAGGAAGATTGCCTTTGACTTTTTGTCCAGTGAACTGTTGATTCTACAATGATCTATTACATGATTAGAGAAGCAGTAAACTATTAATCTTATAGGCCTATAAGTATGAACATGAATAGAGGTCTGAGTTCTACATCCAATTATTATTGGACACATACACCCTCCTAATTCGTGGATCCTCACAGGAATATTCCATCGGACAATCGTTCATTCCATCATGAATTAAATAAAGAATCCCACCCCCCTCTCTCTTCCTTATGGTAGTTCCTAATCATAATCACATGACTCCTAGACTTTAATCATGATGAATTAGGAGTTACTACTCATAACCACGTAACTTAGACTTGCATCATACTAGAGGTAACCCATAAGAGTCAACACTTTTAAACTTCTTAACCCCTGACTTTTATACTTTTAACTATACTTGCAATGCGTTTTGCGAACTTCTGAACTCATGACTTTTATTACTCATTTCTTTTCTAAAACCTTTCATATTAGATCTCTAGGTTCCATATCATAGGCTCTATCTAAATCAATGAAAACCATATCAAGATGTTTCTTTCTCTCTGTATATCTTTCTATTTGACCTCAATAAATAAAAACCATAAAGGGTTACTATGATCAAAACTTTTTTTTTTTCTCTCTATTTGGTTGTGTAAAGTATATTTATATGAAAGTTCTATTTTCATTTGATTTCATAATAGCCTAAATGACTTTCTATCTTTAAATAAATTTTGAAATCCATTTAATTGTTATATTGATATGGAACTATCTTTATATTGAATATTTGTACATGCATATTACTACGGAAAGATATATAACAATTTAGTATCAGTATACCATATGCAGAATAAGTACAAATACACACAACATGAAGACACTCCTGTTCTATTTTCATTTGATTTTATAATAGCCTTAATGTTTTTCTATCTATTTTCATTTGATTTCATAATAGCCTTAATGTTTTTCTATCTTTAATTTTGAAATCCATTTGATTATTATATTAATATCGATCTGAATCTTTATTCTGATTATTTGTAGATACATATTACTACAGAAAGATATATACGAATTTAGTATGATTATACCATATGCAGAATAAGTACAAATACACATTATATGAAGACACTCCTGCTTTCCAAAAACTTTATACCTGTTCAATCCCACTCTCTTTATCTCAATTCCGCTTCTGCTCCGTGTGACTGAGATTACGATTGATTCTTAGTAATCTTTGACAGTATGTGAGACTTTGCCACATCTGAATTAGGTAACCACCACCTTAAACAAATTGTTTATCTTTTGAGGAAGAGAATCATTCTCCTAATGACATTCTTAGTCACCGCCATTCATTTCTTCCTCAATTTTACTAAACCAATTCTCTACAAAGAACAACATCAAAAATCTGGAAAATGGTGAACTATTTGGACTCTGGTTATGTTTTGAGGATTTCAGTAAGTTTATTGATATTTATAATGCCATGTAGTTTGATGTATCTTATATCAAGATATCTCTCAAGTCAGATGCTCTTTTTCATTTGTGAGAATGATTTTGAATTTAAAAACCTCAAGGGGTATGAACTTTCGACTCTTGGTATGGATATAAATATTTTTTATTTTTATTTTTTTCACTACTTGCTCTGTTTGGTTGCATTGGAGGTTTAAATTCTTATTAAAGTTTCCTATTTCTTTCACACCCATTGTATTCTTGGCAACTGAACCGAGAAATCAAAATGGTCTCTTACTCTTTTGCCATTTGTTAACATTGGTTTCCAAAGACAAAAATTCACTTACTACTAATCACATTATCAATGATACTTTTACTTACACATGGAAAGTGCACAACTGCATAAGGATTACATTAGCATCTGTCCTCAAGACTATAAGAGATCCCCATGCACCTACTAATAGTTGAAACTTCTCCACAAACCAATTTGTGTTTTGGGGTAAGTAAATAATAGCACAAATTAATGATTATACGTGTTAAAGTTGGTTTTCATTAGAATCCTACTATATTAGTGAAGTAAACATTTACATGTAAAAGGGTCATAAGGGTCATTACCTAGTGTGTTCCCTTTAATCAAGGGTGCTAGGAGGGGTGAACTGGATGCAGACCTAACCTAACCTTTGGCTTTATGTAGACAAAAGTGGCAGACCAAGAAAAGTATGTAAGTGTCCTTTTTTTTTTTTTTTTTCGCGCTTATAGGCATGCAAAACTGACATTGATGAGTCCTTGCATCACTCCTGATGGAGCTAACAAGCTCAGCATTTCTTGTTGTGGCCCGAAGGGAACTCCAAGCATAAAATATTAATCTGCGTAGGTGCACTCTGTGCTGCAACCTTACAGGGCAAAACTTTTCAGTCTTCCACATTGAGAGTGTGAGCAGTGTTAGATACAGAAAGACTGACTTACTGAGGGTATAACATTCATTTTGGCCATATACTCTTCTGGAACAATTTTTATTACAACATTTTCAACTTCAAACATTGTAATTATTTTGCAACAAACTACATATTATTTGTTCATTTCTTTTCATTTGTGTTAACATTTGTTATCATACTTGCAGCTCACAGAATGCAGTTTATCGTGATGGCGGCTGGACAGGTCTTGGGAGTAGAATGATTACAGACAAATCGAATTCCAATGGGTACACTGAATGGTTCCTCTCCAAAGATCATCTTCAAGTGGGTGACATGGTGCGGTCCAGAAAGCCACCAAACTCACGCAAACCTGAAAACATGGATGTCCCTGAAGGGACCTTAGTGGGTTTGGAGCAGGACACTGATCGAAATGGGTTTGTTTTGGTGAGGGTCCATGGCATCCATGATCCAATAAGAGTTCATAAATCTACATTGGAACGGGTCACCGTTGGCTTGGCTGCGGGGGATTGGGTACGTGTAAAGCTGGAAGACAAGAAGCACTCACCAGTGGGTATTCTTCATTCCATCCAGCGTGATGGAAGCGTCGCTGTTGGATTTATTGGAGTGGAGACTCTTTGGAAAAGCAATTCTTCAGAACTCCAGATGGCAGAATCTTACTGTGTGGGCCAGTTTGTGAGGCTGAAATCAAATGTATTCAGCCCTCGATTTGATTGGCCTCGAAAAAGAGGTGGTGAATGGGTCACTGGGAGGATTTGTCAGGTCCTACCAAATGGGTGCCTTGCTGTTAATTTCCCAGGTAGATTAACATTCGGAGACGAATGCAGCAGCTTCTTGGCTGATCCAGCTGAAGTGGAAGTGGTTTCTTTTAATACTTGTCCCAGCATGGTTAAAAAGTATGAACATCTCGAGGATTTTCACTGGGCTGTTAGGCCACTTGTCATTGCACTGGGTCTATTTACTGCCATGAAGCTAGGCTTCTTTGTTGGGAAGAAAGTGGGGAGGTCAAAGGCAAAGGGACAGAACACTGCAATGGCGTGCGATGCTCAACATATGGATGGAAACGCAGCATGGCTTCCTCCAAAGGTGGCAAATATCATCTTTAGAGATGGTGTCGGTACAGGTGCCACTCGATAGTTATCTAACCTAACTCAGATGCCCAAAGCTAAAATCTAAACCGAATTTTTTTTCCTAAATGAAGGAAATCTAAACAGAATTGCATAAGGAAGTTGTTAGCTTCTTAGCTTTTAGGGCATTTGACAGATTATTTCTGGTAAAAGAGTAGGGAATAGAACCCTTCAATTATCTATATGGTGTAAATATATGACTCTGTTAGTTTGATTACCTTTATAGCTGTATATATACTACTTATTCAGCGACTTCCCTACTGTGAATTTGTTTTTCAATTTTAGTTTATTTTATAAACATGTTATATCTTTTACAGCCAAATAAATCTGATGTATCAAGCAGTCCATTGATAGGGTCATGGTTTAGTTCATGACAGATGATGAATTAGATTTCTTCAGGGTACTTCCTAGGTAAAATTTGACCTACAGTTTAATCTCATGTACTCCAGGGGACTACTTTACTTACATTTTTCCATCTCATCAAGGTCGAAGCTACTTTCAGACTGATGATCCGGTGCGATTATTCCATTTTCGCCTTTCTCTTTTGATTTGTTCCTGATGTAGTGTAATGCTAGAAAAAATTCCGATTTCTGTCTTCCATACCAGTTCCAGTTTGAGGTTGGCAAGCGCGTAGTAGCTATGGTTCGGTCGCCCAGTTTGACATGGATAATCAGGGCTAAAACTACGGCTTTTCAGAGACAAGCTATTGGCCATTAGCAACAGCCATGATACAAACAAGAATTTGGACATGGTAAAAGAACAAGCTCGAGTTGGAGTTTGGTATGAAATTCTTCATTTGAATTATAGAACTTCCAATGTGATGGTGAATTTGTTAATTCAAATGGTTGAGAAAAGACTTTATTGGGTTGAGTTTGGTCTAAATCATAGAACTTTCAATGTGAAGTTGTAGCAGACTGATATGTAATGTTGGCACTGAAAACTCTCCAAACGGTTGAAAACACGAACTGCAGTGAAAGGACAAACGCTCCTGATCCAACGGCTGAAAGCAGAAGCTCACAATGAGAGCCCCCTCAAGATAGATGACAATGCAAACCAACTGAATGATTTTGCATATTTCAGTTTTGAAGTTGTTTCTAAACTTTACCAGATGCCAATGCTGTAATGCAAGAGAGCACATTTCCAGTAGCATCAAACCAGTTTGGAAAAGGAAGAGAGAACAAAAACAACACTCTGATTTTGATTCCTTCTGTGGAAGTATGTTGAAGTAAAAACAATGTTTAACATCACTCATAGGGAGAGACAACAAAAACAACCCTTTCGTTTTAGATCCTACCGTGGAAAACATGTAAAAGTAAAAACACAATCTAAAATCACTCATTATACAGTAACTACTAGACACAATTTTGAACAACATGATGTTGCCACACCGGTTTTGTTGTTTCCAAGTTATCTGCAACAGTATACAAATCGGTTAGACATCTATACAGACCGGTCACTAGCTTAAGAAGTTACCTCTATATAGTTTGTGTCACCTACAATACCAGCATCTTTTACAAGCTGCTCAGACAAAGCAGTAAGCCGGGCAACTTCTGTTTTAACTTCGCACAGACATTTGTTGTCAAACACAATTACCCTTGGATCAGAGTCATTATCCTGGAAGGTAGTGAAATCAGAATCCGCCTCAATGCTCAAGCTAGCTTTATTCAAAAGCTCTCGACTCATTGTGGCAAGTTTTTGAAGGGCACAAGTCGCAGCTTCAACTTCCAGTTGAGCTGCCTCTAATTGGAGCTTCTCAATTGCCAGGTCCCCGATACTTTTCTCACCAATTCTTTCTTGTGCCAAAGCATAAAGTTTATTTAGATCATTAGCATCTTGATTGATTTCTTCCTTCATATTCTGTAGTTCCTTCTCTCTTACATCTAATTTTCCAAGAACCATTTTGAGCTCCTCATCTTTGATTGTGAGAGCTCTCTGCGCAGCTACAACTTCCATTTCTTTCGTTCTTAGGCTCTCTCTGGTTGACTCAAGTTCGGTTTCAAGCTGTTTCTTCTGCCACTTGAAATCATCGGTTGGTTTTTCGAACAGCGGATGCAACAACTTGTGTTCCATGTTGTCAAACGAGCTCATTCCATCATAATATTCATCCTTCATGGAAAAAACCAGTTTGTCAGTGAGCTCTACGATCCGCTCCACCACAGTTTCGGCTTCAGATATTTTAAGCTTTGAATCTCTCAGCTCACGTCGCATTGCCTGAACATGTTCCTCTTTCTCCTTTAGAATGGAAGTCGCTTGAACAAGCTGGTCTTCTTTACCGCTCATAAGCATCCTTATATCATCAATTTCCTGGTTTACTTCCTCCATTTTCTTCCTTGCATTGAAGAGTTCTAAATCTCTCCCCTCTAACATAAGCAGAAGAGAAGCCTGCTCAGACTTCAAATGCTGGATCTCCAGTCTAGCTTCAACCAATTCTGACTCTTTAACCTGAAGAAGATTGCGTGTTTCTCCAAATTCAGTATCTCTCCTGTCTACCTCCTCTTGGAGAAAAGACATCTCTTGAGTTGCCTGTTGCAGAGATGACCTCTCTTTATTCAATTCCTCCCGTAACTCTTCAATAAGCTCCTTTTCCAAACTTAAATCTTGCTCAAGCTCCTTGTTTCGAGCCTCTGCAACCCTAAGCTTCACTCTCTCGCTCTCTACTTCTATTTGGGCATCTTTCAAATTTGTCATGTAAGACACGATACTTTTCCTTTGTTCTTCAAGTTCTATGAGTTGTTTCTCTAGCAACTGTTCTTGACCTTGCATTTTCTGTCTAGAGGAAGCCAGAGCTTTCTGAGACGAAACTAGCTCAGACCTGACATCAGCAAGAAGCCTCTTGACTCTTCTAAAATCCTCTAAAGTTTCATTACCTTCTCCTGCGTGCTTACATGCTTCCTCTGCAAGTTTCTTCAACTCTTCTTGTGCTAAAAGCCACTCCATTGTCTGCTTCTCCAAATTGGCCTCAGAAACGTTTAGCTTCTCCTCTTCAAGTTTACGCACTGCCTCAGAAATTTCTAGCTCTTCTTCTTTCACTTGGATTGTTTGCCGGAGTTCTTGAAGCTCAACTTCTTGTTTCTTCACAATTTCACTGGCTTCATTCAGGAGCTGAGCCTTGGATTCAAGTTCAAACTCTGTATTGGCAGCTTCCTCACTCATCTTCGTGAATTCATTTATCATCTTGCTCATTTCATCTTCTTTCAAAGAAAGTGCAGATTGCACAGCAGAAATTTCCTGATCTTTCTCCTTAAGTCGAAACTTTAGATCTTGTATTTGTGTGGCTTGTGAAGCCAAGTTAAGATTAGCCTGCTTCAGCTCCTCTTCTAGTTTTTCCTGCTTAAAATAAGCAGCTGCTATTTCTTCCTCTTGCCGCTCCAACTCCTCCTTTGCACGATTTAATTCAGAGTGCTCCAATAGGACCTTTCTTTCCGCATCTTGTAGATCTTCTTCTTTCTTCTGCAGGGCTTCCAGAGCAGCCTGAAGATCAGACTCCAGGATTCCAAGATTAAGCCCCAATTGAGCATCCTGAGGAAGACGAGAATCTCTGTTCATCTGTTGTTCCAGTTTCTGTGTCCGGGCAAACAACCTCTCCAGAAGAATCCTTGCAGGTTCAGTTGCCCCATTGCCATTGAAGCTGGACATCCTGTCATCCAAGACAGATTTAATAATCCATGAGGAATGCCCTTTTCTTTTGGGGGCTGTAATAAGAGCTATTCTCTTTTCCTTGCCATTGAGCCTAAGAGAGAACAACTGCAGAAAACATTTCACCAATTCAAAACTAATCATATATCTATTAAGAAACCAATAAAGCCAAATGCACAAACATTTTACTTGTATGGTAATGACCTAATCCTTTAGGAAAATGCACTAGTTTACCAGTCAAAGGAGCTAAAAGGGACGTGTACATAAAGAAAGAAGCTGAGTGACAAGGGAAATGGCAAGCAATGTGAAGACAGGATATATGAACTTAAAGAGTGAGCCAAATATTTATCATCTAATATTTTAGGAGTTGAAAATTTTCCAGCTTAAATCTGCAAAAACATTTAAATATAAATTCCAAAAGAGCCAACCAGTAACAAATTTAACCATTATCAGAACTGTTTTTTCCAGACTTGTCCCAACTACGAGAAACTTTGGTCAAATTTTGTTGTTGAATGCATCGGAGCCCCTCTAATTAATTGTGTTCCTTTCAAAAAAAAAAATTAAAAGATATGAATACCAGCAATATTGGGAGAGAGTAATCTGGCCTTTAACATGCTATGTGGGAGATTGAAACCCGCTGATATAAGCATTGATCTGTGGAAGTCTATCCACAGAACTACACATACACGAGAGAGAGACAGAGACAGTGAGTGAGCTTAAAATTTGTAAATTGAAGAGAAGGAATAGAAGAAAGTAGCAGAACCTATAACTCCTTCAGACCCTACTACATAAAATATTTTGCCAACATCACAAAAAGATTCTCAAGGTTTTTGCAATTAGATAGTCATGCAAAGCTGAGTTCAAGCTATAGAAAGCATTAGTAGCAACGATAACATCATCAACCGAAAATGAAATAAATGGGCTGACTTGTTAAGTAGTATTTCAGCTTCTAGCAAAATTACTCAATCCGCAGAACTCATGATCAACAATATCTAGATATAGGATTCAAAATAACCCCTTTTTTCATATTAAGAAAAACCAATAACATAATTAGTACTGAAAGTATGGATGTCATCAATGGCTATCTCCAAAGCTGCTACCCCCAATTGTCACCAAAAACCATCTAAAAGGATCCAACTCCAAAGGCTTTCAAACTAAGCCCCAATAACAGTGACACAGGGATAATCCAATTCAAAGGCTGAGATGAAAAACCTAAAACAGCCCATTATCTCTTTATCTAGTTCAAGAAGCAAAAATACACACACACACACACACACACACACACACAGTACTCAAAAAAGTATATCTCATGGTGCCCATGAATTCAACGGAGGCCCTCAAGAACATAGCCATAGACAGCCCTGCAACTCCTAGGGTTTAACAATTGCAAATGAAAATAAAGTTCTGAATCCCCTTTGTCCAATGAAATAATTAAAGATTAACCTAACTCAGAAATTGTTTTTCAAAGATTACCTTAAAACCCTAAAAATCCCAATTTACATCAAATTTTATTACAATTTTCCCAAGTCTTGATGTGCAAAACACTAGTCAGTAGGAAGCTTCTTCATTACATGAATCAAGAAATAGCTTTCTTTTTTTTTCCAAATTCTTTCATTAAATTTTAACAAGTCAATCAAGTTCTCTGATTCAGCACGAAGTCTGTTATTTGCCCAAAAGAATAAAAACTGAGAAAATGTATTATATATTATATACATAAACATACATATATATAGAGAGAGAGAGAGTACCTTGGATTGTTGGAGAGAAGATGTGGCTGAAAGATTGGCGTGCAGAACAGCTGACAACGCCATTTTTTACCTACAAACCATCTTTTCTGTCGCAAATATATACACACATATTCAAATCGAACTCAGTAATACAACAGATCAGTAGAATTACAAGATGTAGAGAGAGAAAGTAGATAGAGAAATGAGAGACTTGAAGGTGGGGGAAGGGATTGGATTGGAGGGAAACATAGATAGGTTGACGTTAGCATCACCGTTCACACAGGCTAAGTTGCGCCGCGCTTAATGTCATCTTTAAGACAGTAGAATGCGCTGTGCTACGTTTTTTCTTTGATATATGATTTGTCATTAATTTTTATAGAAAATTGGTTCAATAATTTATTTTATTTTTTATTTTTTTTGTAGTCTTTGGTGGTGTTGGTAACTTAAAACATCTCGACCGCCAAACATTTGTAGTCTCTTCATAAATTGAGTAATTATTAAAAAATTATAATTTTATAATAGGATTGATTTCAGAATAATTATGATCGAAGTAATGCTACATAGATCAATTTTTTATTTAGATGACTCTAACAAGTAACTCATAATTTTATTCCAATAAAAAATATGTAAGCAGCTACAATCAAATCGTATTTTATCATCTCTTAAAAAGAAAAAGACTAATGATTTAAATCTCTATATAATCCGTTATATTTTATCATATCTTAAAGAGAAAGAGTAATGATTTAAGTCTCTATATAATCCAAATATATATCTGCATGAGTTTGTTTTCATCCTATATAATAAAAAATAAATACATAAAATTTTAAATATATATATATATATATATTATGTTTCTTAGTCACTATATCAATTATGATCAGGGACGGAGCCAATTAAGGCCTAGGGAACACGTGCCCCCTGAGTTGACCGACAATCTATAATATATGTGGTAATTTAAAAAAAAAAATTTCATATATATGAAAAAATTTATATAGTACCCCCTCAAATTTGTAGTTCCTAAAATTTTTTTTTTTTTTTTTTCTCTCTTTTACTCTTCATATTTCTTAAATTTTCATAATAGAAAAAGTCAAGTTTTTCTTCCTCAATTAAAACTTTTTAATTATTTCTTATTAAAGTTCTCTCATTTTTCTTTCCTCCTATATTTTAATAATTTTCTTCTTATTTGTCTTTATAAATTTTATAATTGTTATATATATATATATATAGATATTCCGTATTGCTTTTTTTTTTTTTTTTTTTTTTCTGACAGTGTGCCCTCTTCACTTAAAATCGTACCTCCGTTGCTGATTGTGATGAAATAAATTCAGATAAGTATCCATATAAACTGAATTAATCAGCTTATATAAATATATAATAAGTATCAAATTCTTAAAATGGAAGCTTTAGTGGATGAGCTGGCTAGAATTGTGGTGCATGTGGTGGAATGCCTGACGCGTGTAACTGTTCTAACCATGGAAGACCAGGCCACTTTTGTGACTCACGTGTGACCATGTTTAAAAAGCTTTCTCACGTGAAACTTGTATTCAAATTTAGTTATAATTCATGTGGTTCAGAAAACATTCTTGATTTGGTTATTATTAAGATTATTATCCAACAATAAAATTTGGATTGACAAGCTTAAAAATGGAAATTTATTAAAGTCTTGAGAATATCTATTTTGTACAAAAATATCAGAGCTTAAGTCTAGATATTTTGTACCTTTCTTGGTCATGGACCCATTGTGTGCTCTTACCCAATCTATGAGATGGAACATTCTTTGTATAAAGAAAATGAAAATTATATATATTTATATATTTTATTAATTTATATATGTTTATATAGCCTAGTTGTAATTTTTATTTATGAGTGTATAAGTGTGTTTCTTTTTTTCTTTTCTTTTTTTTCTTTTTTTGAAATATGTTTTTTGTTAATGTATTAGTGCCTCCGATAAATTTTAAGAGTGCCAGGTTTTGACTCTTTATACTTACTAATCTAACTTTTAATCCTTCTTGCTTTATAATATATATATATATATATATATATATATATATATATAAAAGAAAATCTATAATTTAAAAGTAGGTTTAGAGGTCCAATGGTGTAAGTTTTAACGACTTTGGGTTTAATTTAGGGATGCAGGTAGTCTCCAATTGATGGATCCAAAAATTTGGGTTGCGGAATGGGTAACCAAAAAGGATGACTCAGTTGGTGACTGCAGGCCCGCCTGCTTTTTTAATTTTTGTGGCCCAAAAAACTGTAACCCAATAATACTGTAGCCCAAACTTAATTGAAGGGCGTGTTTGGTTGTGAAATTTTTTTTCAAAAACCAATTTTTTGTATATATATTTTTTTCTTCAACATAATTGAACCAAAGAGCCGTTGCCATAAAGGCTTTTTTGGGCAAAAAAAAGTTTAAAAAATGGAGAAAAGTAGTATAAAGGCTTTTAAAGCATTGTATTATTATTATTTTTTCAAAAATTCATATCATATTGTATTATTTTATTTTTTTATAATTCATAATAAATATTGTATTGTTTAATTTTTTTTTTTTGTGTAATATAGTCGTTAGAAATATAACCATTAAGAAAAAGTTTTAAAAGAAATTTATTAAAAATTTAAAATATATGAAAATATTAATATTTTGGGTTAATTACACTCACACCCTCTTAGGTTTACACTATTGACAGCGAGATGAAAGTTAGCCTCTTTTTGAACACTCACACCTCCTATCAGAAATTGCAGCCAAACAACCCCTAAAAAGATGTAAAATGACACTATTGCCCTTCAATAAAATAATAATTCTTAATCTAAAATATCAGAGTAGTTAAATGACCAAAATACCCCTCAGCAGTATTAAATTGCAGCCAAACAAGTCCTCACCCTCACCTACCACTGCCGCCTCCCAAAACTCGGCCACCACTACTAACGCCACTTCTCAAAACTCCTATACGCCTTCACCACAATGGCCGCTACCACCTCCTCCCGCCATGGCCAACTTATGAAACCGCCGCCTTAATAGTAACAAATCGTCGTTCTTATCTGTGTTGAAGACGAGCAACAAACGTGTATGATGTGGAGCCAAATCAGTCAGTTCAAATTGAGTTGAATTTCGGCGCCGGAGGTTTCAGAACATCGTCGTCATCTAAGGGAAGGGGATGGAACTGTTGGGTTGGATCACCCTTTTTTGGGCCCCAACCTTTGCCGGAAGGGGCATCACACACCCCCACTCACCGTCAATGCGCGTGGGGTTGCACCACCTATGTACCTTCATCTTCTTCCCAACAAACTCAGAACGCAACCACCAACCCACGTCGTCATCTTTATGGGCGTCGTCACAATATTGTTGCAGCGTAAGCAGTGTGATTCGCAGTCGACGTTATTCCCGGGCATAGTCAATTGCCACCGCCTTTCTCCATTTCCACCACCACCACACAAAAACTCAAATAATTTATACTCAACCATGCCATCAAACCCAAACAAACCCCACAACACACTGCCACCACCATCAACAATTGCTAATCTACATATACAAAGAAACACAGGCACCCAATTCCACCAAAATTTCAGAGACCTCTGACTTGATATAATTTGTTGTGTGTGTGTATATATATATTTGTGTTTGATTCTCTCTGAATATGGGATATATATATATATATATTGTCTATAGAATTTATTTTTGTATGTTGTATGTGGATTTGGACTTGATTAAGCTGGGATTTGGTGATGGATGTATATGGGATTGGCGGCAGTTGTGGAGTGGTGGCAGCGGCGTCTATGATATGAAGGTAAGGGTAAGGGTGGTTTGGTCTAATAAAATGAGTAGTAAAGGTTAAAAATGTAATTCCAAGGTCAAAATAGGTTAATTATCAAGTCAAGGGGCAATAATGTTATTTCATTATGTATTAGATGTGGGAGGGGTGTCTTTGTCAACTTTATCAAACCTGAGGGGTGATTATTGTTCAAAAATGAGTCAACTTCCATCTGACTTTCAATAAGGCAAACTTCAGGGAGTGTGAGTGTAATTAACTCTAATATTTTTGAAGAGTGAAAATGCACAGAGTACATGCAATAACTAAAATTTGAAGATTACAAAATACTGATGTGATTCTTAAAAATGCTAACGTAACTTTTGAAAAATGATGATATGGCAAATCCAGGGAGCCAATTTTTAAAAACTGTATTGGAGTTCTTTTACTAGGTCCAAGGGCTAGAATATTCCATGCCCGACCCAAACTAAATTATGGTTCAAACTACTACCCAAGCCTAACTAATACGGTATATAAAATGGTTGGACTTGATCTGAACATTGGGTTGCACAAACGGGCCCAACCCAACCAAATTATTGTGCATTCTTATACTGAGATAGAGGGTCATGGTCTCATGGACACTTGAAGACAATTTGATTTTTTTTTTTTTAAGGATATGAGAAAATTTTAATTGCGCTAATAGTGTTAGTGACGTGGTATCACTAATTAATTATATATACGAAGTGATAAGATCTATAAAAATAAAATATTTTTACTTATATGACAAAATATAATTGATTAATTAAACAAATAATGAAATACAAAAGGTACAAAAAAAAAAATTCTTGTAACTCTTTTTCGTACTATTTTTCTTTGAGCCTCTTTTTCTTTAAAGAGGGATGAAATGATTCATTGTTATAAAGTTGCATATATATTTGGTTGTTGCTACTCTGATTAAATTATTTGTTACTCAATAACACAGTGCCATGTCTAAACTTAGTGAAAATTTGTTTTATGCTTTGCAGTGTCTTCATGAAAAATTCTTTGGCAGTGCCCTCATAGAATTGGAGAATTAATTCTTCTTCTCTAAAATAGTTGGCTTGTGATTAATGGTATCATCTAAAGTCAATTTGAAGTTCTTCGAGTTGCTTTTCTGTCTTGGAAGATAAATGTAAAATATTTTACGGATAAATATGGAGAAACAACTAATATTTTTCATACATATATACATATAGCAATAAGATGTGAATCATGTGACATTAAATTATAATTACTGTAATTTTTTTTCTTTTGAAAAATAACTCCTGAATGCTCTTTAGACTTAACCCTCTATTTTCAGCTTTGAAATAAGAGAAGATATCACTAAATCACGTGTTTTGATAATAGTATGACAAATTTTATGTTATGAGATAGGTATCTAATTAGTTTTGTACGTGGAAGAGGAGTTGATAATTTTTTTTATTTTAAAAAAATAAAGAATTTTACCTGTTAATTTGTTTAATTTTCATGATAATAATGGGTTACAATCGCACATTTTTTGCAAATCATAATTGGCCAAAAAAGGCAAAGCATCCAGAGGATTATTAAAATAATTGAATGATTAATCAGAGCAACAACATATATGAAACAAATTACACATCAACAAGGCAAACAAGTTTGCCTGGTTATTGGAACAAATTAATCACAACAAATCAACAAAAAAAACAAAGCAAACAAATTGAATGATTAATCACAGCAACAACATATTCAAAACACAATTGAATAAGTTAAGAACACAATGTGCTGATCAACTTGGCTTCTTGAACCACCATTTCGATCCTAACCGCATTGGAAGCCCGGAGGAATGGATTTCTCACATGCACTAAGGAGCAAGCTAAGTGTAACAGGCACATTTAAGTTAATTCCGAGCACGTTGGCCTTAATGGCCGTGCAGAGGCAAGCCGCGGCCTCCAAGTCAGCCAAGCCTTCGAGCAAAGCACAGCATTTGCTCGAAGGTGGCGATCCAACGACAATGTTAACCAGCCCCCCAAGGAGGTCCACGCACGCCCCGAGCTTCAGGGTGTCCCTAGGGCAAAAAGGGTTCACCGGGGGAGCCTTCGGAGGTGGCATTGGCTTAGGCTTGGGCTTGGGCATGCATGGGATACAGTCAGTAGAGAATGTTGAGAATGCTGAGGAAAAGAGAAGGGAGAAGATTAAAATGGCAACAGAGAGCTTGTTGGTAATCATGGCTGGCTAGCTAGATTGGTTTAGGGTATGGGGCCTTATGGAAGGGATGGTGCCCTTTTTAAGTAAAATCGTGAGGTGGGTATTGGGCCATTGGGATTTTGATTGAGTGGAAGAGAACATAAAAAGATGAAATGTGCGTACAAGTTGGATTGGATTTTTGTAAGCTTGTGGAGTAGTTATCTACAAGTACTTTGTCATGTCACTGTAGATCACAATTGACCATGCCGGTGTTCTTGGCATAGATTGATTCCTAAATTCATTAACAGACTTGGTTGTGATAGAGACTCGAAACTGATAATATTTATGACGTTATTTTTTATTCACATACAAATAGTTAGATGTGCTTGAAAATTATCGTCATTTTTATACTCATATAAATGTAGTCTGATTCGACTTTCGAACTACTCATCGTAGAGATTTAAAGGGGAATGGAACCAAGAGTTTGAGGCCAAAAATGGGGTACAGACCATGGAGTACTAATTTGCCTAATTTGGATAGGACTTAGGAGGGAGCATATAAGATCAATTTAGGCAATTTATTGATTTGGACCTCACAAATGGGTGCCAGCTTCGTTGTTGGGACAACTCTGGAATTATGAAGTCCTCCTTGTGTTTCCTTGTCTTGTCCTTTGTCTAGTTTGTGACTCATATTTCAATTATTGAAGCAACATGGCCCAAAAATTGAAGATTGATAGGACTGCAAAAATATCGAAAGTCGATCTTAGGAATTAGACGTCGTATTACATGAGAGTAAATTACACCCAACTTCCATTAAGATCTGAGTATTACAATCCTACACTAATAAAAAAAATTAAATTTATAATACTTGTCAATCTTTTCATATAATCTCATTTTCTCAAATAATCTTATCTTAATGCTAGAAATGTCCTTACGGAGACTATAATATCTTAGGCAGCATGAAATTAGAGTATTGGAATTGGAATTGGAATTGAAAAAAAAAAATTTGTTCAATTTTTTGAATTGCTTTTCTTCAATTTCATCAATTCTAATTCCATGTCCACCAAACATAGTAAATTTGGTGGAATTGATATCATTAAAATTATTATTAGGTACAATATATTGACTTACCGGAAAAGAAAAAAAAAAAAAAATCATTATTAGGGGAAAACTACCATCAGCTATTAAATGCAGATATAACAGACATTTGACTTGCCTTATGATTTCATGTTTACCATATACTTGGTACATTAAAAATTGGCAAAATACAAATTGAAAACCAGAAAATTTTGAATTTGCCAATTTTATAATAAAAATTTGAAAACTAAATACATATACATATTATTTGTCAATTTTCAAAAATCATAATTTTTTTACAAAGGGTAAAGTTTTATTTGAAAAAAAAAATAATTTTAATTATATATATAATATATATGAATTTTTTTATTAAAGGTATGGTATTGAGTCTATGGTTGCTAATTTTACACACGCATACACAAAATGGTGGTTGTGTGAGGTTGAGGATACATGACACTTTTGAATGGGCCATGCTAATCTGGGCCTTATGGAGTCTGCATGATGGGCTCCTGGATTCCTCTAAAGTAGTATATCTCTAAAGCCCAGAGTCAATGATTTTGTGAACTTTTCACCCAAGAGTTCATGGGAATTGCATTGCGTGAATTTCTTCTTTTTTTCTTTCAATTGTGTAGATGTGTGTATTTGTTGATGTTATATTTTAAAAGAAATGTCTGACAATATAAATTCTTAACACCTGTCACCATTTATTTATTTGTTAATGAAGGATCTTAATCATCTTATGATCTAAAAAATAAGTGTCATATTGTCAAAATATGCAAGATTGATGGGATAACCATCAAGTAAAATTGTCTTTTAAGTAATGAAGCTATTTCATAGAATGATGGTTGTACTTTATGGATGTTTTACTAGGCCTGTAAACGGATCAAATTTGGATTGGAGCAGACTTGATTCGGTTAGAATTTGATAAGAGTTAGTTTGATCCGATTCAATCTAATAATTGAAGGATTATTTAGAATTCAATATATATCCATTTGTTATTAATCGAATATCTGATCTGAAAATAAATTTTCTTTTTCTTTTTTGTTAAATAAATTCGATGTATAGAGAGATTAACAAACAATGATTAGAAAATATATATAGAGAAAACCCGAAGAAGAAAAATAATATATAAATAAATAAGAGTATAAATGAGGTATTTGACTTTTTATTGAAGGGAAAAGAACAATAAAGAAAGACAAAATAGAGAGGGGAGAAGAAGAAAAAAATAATGATAAGCAATATTGTAATGATGCGTAAATATTATAATTATTACTTCCTCCGTCCCACAAAAAATGCCATATTTGGGGAACCCTGAAGAACAATAAAGAAAGACAAAATAGAGAGGGGAGAAGAAGAAAAAAATAATGATAAGCAATATTGTAATGATGCGTAAATATTATAATTATTACTGCAATATTGTAATGATGCGTAAATATTATAATTATTACTGTATTATAATTATTACTATAATAATTATAATATTTACGCATCATTATAATATTGCTTATCATTATTTTTTTCTTCTTCTCCCCTCTCTATTTTGTCTTTCTTTATTGTTCTTCACGATTCTCCAAACATGACATTTTTTGTGGGACGGAGGGAGTAATAATTATAATATTTACGCATCATTACAATATTACTTGTCATTATTTTTTTCTTCTTCTCCCCTCTCTATTTTGTCACGGTTCCTCAAACATAACATTTTTTGTGGGATGGAGGGAGTATTATTTTTTAATAGTAAAGCAAATCCACACACCCTTTTGCCCATATTCAAGCCTGAACCTCCTTCCTCATCCTCAAAGTCATATTACTTGACCAAAGGCCTTTTAGTTATATATATTTATAGCATATTATATAATATAGGGTGAACTACATTAAACCCCTCTTTTCTATCTGTATTTTTCACTAAATCCCCATTTTCTATTTTTTTGTCAAAAAGCCTCCCTCAACTATTAGAGGGGGGTAATTTAACTAACTTTCGTTAACTAACTATTAGAGGAGGGTGATTTAATTCTCAAATATATATATATATATATATATATATATATATAAATTTCAAGAAAAAAAACCTAAATTTATATTGGAAAAAAAAAATTAGGCATTATTTCTGGTAGTATCCCTTTAATAAATCTATATAAAATGAAAATCAATAAAAACCAAATAAATGAATGCACAATATAATTCTCAAATATATATATATATAGAGCAAATAAATTTCAAGAAAAAAATATAGATTTATATTGGAAAAAAAACCATTGCAACAACATGTACTCTTCTTCTTGTTCAACTTTTTTTATTTACACATCATTATAATATTATATATAATTTGTATCATAATATAATGGTATATATAATATGTATCATTAAATATTATTTAAATATATTTTCATTTCCATCTAGCCTTCAGACTAATATAAATCTAGTTTTTTTTTAATTTAGGAAAAAAATCTTGGTGTTTTTTTTTTTTTTTCTTGAAATTTATTTGCTATATATATATATTTGAGAATTATATTGTGCATTCATTTATTTGATTTTTATTGATTTTCATTTTATATAGATTTATTAAAGGGATACTACCATAAATAATGCCTGATTTTTTTTTTCCAATAGGTTTTTTTTTTTTTTTCTTGAAATTTATTTGCTATATATATATATTTGAGAATTAATTCATCCCCCTTTAATAGTTAATTAACGGAAGTTAGTTAAATCACCCCCCTCTAATAGTTGAGGGGGGTTTTTTGACAAAAAAAATAGAAAAGGGGGATTTAGTGAAAAACACAGATAAAAAATGGTGGTTTAATGTAATTTACCCTATAATATATTATCTCGAATTGAATTATTATCAAACTAGATTGACCACAATCCATATCCGATTTGTTTTACTTACGGATTATCGAATCCAGATTGCTAATAGGTTATCGCATTGAATGTTCCAATCCGTATCCTAATTATTGGCTTCGATACGAATCGGATTCAGATTAAAATTCGATTCATTAATAGGTCTAGTTACCTAGCTTTGCCAAGTTGAATTGACCAGGCTAATATTCAAAAATAAAAAAATTGAATTATGCAAAGGCAACAAGTGTTGAGCTTGGAAACAATTTGCTCTAAATTTTTTCGTAACTGCACATTATTCAAATTTAAAAGTATAGATGAGTATCTCAAGTCTCAACCCTCTCCATGCATAATTCTATTGTATAGATTTGCTAGCATCAGTTGCTACTAGACTCCTAATATGATTAATGCTCTGTTCAGTAGGAAATAAAAAAATTGGATGGAAAAGAAAGAAGAACGGATAGATGAGACATCTATAGGTAAGAGATTGTGTATTTTCTTCTTTTTGTTTAGTGAAGAAAATAAGTTTATAATTTATTATATTAGTCAGGAGAGAAGGAAATATAAAGTTTTAACATTAAAAAAATATATATAAAGTTTTAATTATTTTTACCATTATATCCAATAATATTTATAATAGGGTTAATTCCACTTACATCCCCTGACGTTTGCTTATATTCCACTTACACCCCCTCTATGTTTCATAATTTCATGAAACCTTAATTACTAGACTTTTAACACTAAAAAATAACCCTATCAAAATACATTTTAGGCAAGAGTAATTACAAATACATGGAGACCAAATAACCCCTAATTACCTTATGTAATTTACTAAACAACCATTATTCTCTTTCCATCTCATAAATCTACTTCACTAATCTATTACTTTTTCTGTCACTGTTCACCTTATCTCTTCATACCAAGGGCACACCATTACTATGCTTTGTTAGTCGCTCACCGAAATTAAGCTCACTGTTATATTTTTTTTCACCGAATAATGTAAAACTTGTACTTAAACAAAGTAAAACGGGTAATTGAAATAATGTAAAATATACATCAAGCAACTCTCAAAATGGATCTTAAATGGAGCAATCTGGTTGGATGACTATACCTCTTCACCGATTTATTCGTTGTAACTCCACGG